TTTCTTGTCAAGGAAGCCATGAGAGTAGAATCATATTGAATTAGCATATGACATTAAAAATGCGTAATAATAATAAAAATAATTAAGAAAAATATACAAAACTGTTAGAAAAACATTAAAAAGATATACCTGCAATAATAATTGTTCAAATTGTTTACCATTGTGACATTTTGTTTGTAATGCCTTTTAAGGCTTTCTTTTTTTGAGTTTGCATATGTTACATTGTGCGAGGCGAAGAATACATTTTACAATGGGGACAAGTAAAATATCGATTTAAATGTGACATACATTTTTTATTGTTGGGACAATAACAGAAAATTTGAATAACCTCGAATATTTCGCATTGTAAGACCTAAATTCTAATATATCTTAATAAAATCGAAAAAAATCAAATTTAAATTCCGTGCCAAATTTAACGTAGGTAACATTACTTTAAAAGAAAAATCAAGTTAGCCATGATTCAAAACTTGTAGCTTCCAAGGGCATAATGACCATTTTTCTATTTGAAATGTGTTAAATAAGTAATGCACGAGATAGATTTTTCCATTCTCTTACGAATGGTCAAAACTACATTTTTCTGTCACGTTTAATTTTGGAAATATTTTAAATTTTGAAGAATGCTGCACTCGAGGCTGCACTCAACGGTACTTAAAAAAAAAACATTAATCACTGAAACGGTACGTTTTAGACCTAATATCTGTTATCAAAGTGGGCCCTAAATTCAACGGAAAATTTAGAAAATTAATAATACACCCTCCCTATATTGTTTTTGAAATTAAATTAGGTAGCGCCTATAGGAAGCGGGTCACCCTGTATAATGGAAAATAAAATTAAAAATGTGATGAAATCGATTTGGTATAACTTTTATTCGAAACCTTTTATTTTGTATTATTGATTATGGAAAAATCCTTCCACTTAAGTGGAATTGTGATTTCAGAAGTTTTCAGAAAAGCATCAGAAATCTGTCCATAGTTCGATTTTTTCTTATTTATTTTCAAATTAATCCATATGTCATGTTCCTCTTGGTCATTGATATTTGGTTCATTTCTGCTTTTTGCTATTGTAACCGTTTTTATTCGGTCTCTTCGTGTGGTCTCCATTCTGCTTTATCATCACAATCTCTGCCTTCTTTCAGTCTAGTCATACATTGAACCGCAAGTTTGAACATCATCTGTCTTTAGATTGTACTGTAGCGTATTTTTAGTTTAAGTTTATGTAGGTATTCTCCATTTGGTCCTTCTGCTAGTAGAAATATCTGTTTATATAGAATCTGTTAATTGATTTTTTACAAAAATCGAATATTTTCAGACTATTTTTCAAGGATCTTGCTCTTTAGTTCAGAGTTATTTCTTTCACTTTGAATCGCACTCTCTCCCTTATGCAAATCTCAATGTCTCCGAAAACGACATGCCTTTCAATTTTTCAGATTTTTTGATTTTTTGTCGGGTTTATCAAAATCCAGCCTCATCCTCTAAAATCCATACATTTGCAGCTTATGAATAATGCGCTGTGCTTTGCGGAATTATAAATCCTACCATCGCGAACCGATGTACTTCAGTCGAAATTTAAATATAGAGGATGATTTCGTACGGTGCGTGGTGTTCTGAAATAGACGGTAAGGATTTGTTAGATCCCATGGTGCATTAATCAAGTCAGTTCAAAGGGAAAATGTAGATTTATTATATATTAGGTGGATTTTTCATCACTGAACGTTTAAATTTTACCTTGATTTAGAGGTTATAATATCTTATAGAAATATGTACATGTTACTTCGATATTACCATTGTTATACAATGATATTACTCACTAGATAAGGTGTAAATAATAATATAATATAAAATTATTTTAACGAACTTTCGTGGTGAAGAAATTTCGAATGAAAGGTATTTTTTTCTTTTACACAAAATCTTCATTTTTCTTAAAGTTACAGGATTGTAATTTTTAATTTCGCAAATTTCCTTTGATTTTTTTTTTCAGGGCGAAATTTCTGTTTATAAACCTAGAAATCATCTCGTAATGTTACCCTGTTTGATGTCATTTAACATCAATTTTGTCAAATCTTCTCGGCAATAATCTCCCGCTAATCATATGACTGATATTTTCTCGTTTGGGATGTTAACTTAAATATTAACAAATAATGGAACAAATCCTACCTTCATCATTAAAAATTTATCGTCCGATGCTTCCATAAAAAATCTGCCCATCTCTTCTGGTACAAAATGGGTTGGATTTTTCAACCCTGATTGATTTCTCGAGGATCTTTTTAATATTTACGTTCTTTTTCATAGCCAAAGTGGTTGGAACATCTAAGCCAAGAAGATTTTTTGGTTTTAAAATTGTCAGCGATTAGAGTATTTTTATTAATGCTTAATGCTTTTTCGCGACACACAGACCATATAAAAAGGCTACAAGGGCGTAGCGTTTTTAAAGTGTTTTTAAAAAATCGCGGTTGTAGATAAAATATTGTGCATAATACTTTTGGAAACTGTTTTTCGCTACACTTATTATGTAATATAGGATTACAGTCCTTGTTATGTATATAATATACTACACTTATTACGTTATTTTTATTAATTTGAATGTATTTTTTTTGCAAAAGCTCTCCCACGGAGTAAAATCCGTATACACATGGCCTATTGTATTTCTTTGTTCAAAAACTTTTACATTTGCGAAAAAAAAATTACGAAAAGATATCATAGTTTTTTAAAAGACCAGAAAATTACTTGTAGTAGTCGTTACTACCGCCTCTTACAACCAAAGGGGAAGATCAAGAAAGCATCCAGTAGATAGAAAAGTGTATGTAATTTCATTTTTGTAACTTTCTGCATATTTAGAGTTGAAATATAAACTATATTTTTCTCCGTTTGAGGTTTTGTTTGTGACAAAAATACTTGTAGCAAACGGACTGTACCATCATATAAAAGACTCTCTCTAGATATATACATATGTTTCCTACTCCAATTTACCATTATTAAATTGTTTATAAACATTTTTATGCATTTTTTTTAGTTTTTTTTGGTTATAAAACCTAAACTAACGAAGTAATCTGAATGCTATATACAGACCATTTGTAGAGAAATGAAATACGAATAAAACGAGTGGTCGATCGATCCGATCGGATAATGGAGAAAACCCGGAAAAATCGGGAGATTTAACGTTTTTTTTTTTTAAATTCATTACTCCGCCATTTTTTAAGCAGTTCAGCTGACCTTGTGCACAAAAGTAATAAATTATATGTACTTAAAATGTGCACAAAGCAGGCGCTGTCGGACCATTAGTTTTGGCACAATTGCAATTTGAATTTTTTGGAGCACTATTTTGCAAAGTATCTGGATGCGTTGGGATGGTTCGATATTAATTTTTCGGCCGGATTTTAAAAGTAGAAGTATGATACTACAAAATGTATATTCTAATTTTCCGATAAAATGATGCGAAATAGGTGAAAAATTCCTCCAAATATGCTCAAAAACGGTCGAGCGCGGGTACGCGTCGAGTAGTGGGGGAAGATCTGAAGATGAGAGGCAGTGGATATACATATATACAATTTTGAATATTTGGACATCTGGCGCAGAAAACTAAGCGGATGATGCTACCTGGTGTCATAGCTTTTTTAACAGATCTCACGAATTATTTTTTTATAAGAACATGATCATATTAATAGTGAATAAATCAACCTTGCTGCCTATAAACAAACATTATTAGAGGTATTTACATATGTTCAAATTTCTAGAAACGACATAGAGTACCACGTCGAAGAAGACATGTAATAATTCTCATGTGCATCCCATAAATACTTATAGATTTAATCTAGTCATGTTCGAATGAAATTTACATAAATCTTGCCTTAGTGTACAAGGTGACTCCATTGAATCGACTTCATGTGCCCTGCAAACCTAGTAGACCCTTGGCTTAGTTGACTATCCTTCATTTCTTCTTTACTCTCTCTTTCCACCTAACAATTTCCAGTTGTACGTCTTTCTCCACCACTGTTTCCCATCTTGTTTTCAGTCGTCCTCTCCTCTTTTTATTTTATTGTTCGTGTCATTACCATTTTTGGTGTCCTTTTCTCTGTTATTCTTTCATTATGTCCTAACCACCTTAACCTTTGAGCATTTATCATACCTACTATGCTTGCCTCTTTATATAAGCCTTCTATTTTCTCGTTTGTTCTTCTGATCCATCCTTTCTTCTTCTCTTTTTCCCAATATTTCCCTCTCCCATATTTCCAGTAATGCTTGTTCAGATTTTTTTATCTTTTTATTTCTCAACATTCTCTGTAAACCTGCTACACTTCTTTTTGATATTCCTCCTCTGTCCGTTCCAGATATTTAACGTTTTTCGATAATATATAGTCCCCTTATAACCGACTGTTCATCTACTCTTTTTATTATCTCTTTTAACTCTGTTCTAGTTCTTGCTATCACTACGAAATCATTTGCAAATTCCAGGCACCAGGTTTTTGGTTGTATATAATACCCGATGACTTTTTCTAGCATAAACTAAATAACACTGATGACAATGGCTTTTCTCGTCTCCCACCGGTTTTAACTTCAAACTATTCTGTTCTGTCATAATGTTTGATATTGTTTATCTTCTTACTGGTTTCCAATTCTTCTGAAATCTTGTATAGTTCCTTTTATTTTGCCATAGGCAATAGAACTACCGTTGATTTACCATATTCGAAGTCTTCTGCCTGTATTTCTCGTAGATGATAAATGTGGTCTACTGGACTTCATTGTCTGAAACCACATTTGATATCCAGCAATTTTTCCTCCACATTTAGCAATGCCATTCCCCTGTAGTTTTTGTATTCGCCTTTACATCATTTTTTATGTATAGAACAAATTATTGCTTCCAACCAAGCCAACTTTGGCTGTTCTTCCCTTTCCCAAACCCTTCCTAATAGTTTCTGCAATTGTCGGTTAGTTCCTGTCCCCCATATTGAAATAAAAATTGACGTTTGCACTTACAACACTCAATTCGCTTTTTTTTTGTTCCAGGTGAACGGCGACGATGAGTGGGAGTACGAGGAGATCATCCTCGAGAGGGGCGGCGCCGGCCTGGGCTTCAGCATCGCAGGCGGTACGGACAACCCCCACATCGGCGACGACACCGCCATCTACATCACCAAACTGATACCCGGTGGGGCGGCGGCGATGGACGGCCGCCTCCGGGTCAACGACTCCATTCTGTCGGTGAACGATGTGCCCGTGGTTGACGTGCAGCACGCCATCGCCGTCGAGGCCCTCAAGAAGGCCGGCAACACTGTCAAATTGGTGAGTAAAGGCCGATCTTTGAAAATGTTTCGGTATTTTGCCTACTTAACAATATAAATTAGGATCTCGTGAACTGTATAGAAAAATTGGGAAGTTTTAGGCCGTTCTGTTGCTTTTAGACCAACTCCAACTGTTCAGGTTTTCAAGTTGTTTTGAAACAAAAGAGGACAATTTTGTTTATTTTTTTTTTAATTTCTGTACCGTGAAGATCTTAAAATTGTAAGGATAATCTAACTTTTACCAAAATCTATATCTATATTTAATAATTTTTTGAACCCTCTAAAATGATACGCCCATGGAGTCGCAGCAACTATTTTATATTAAAAATAAATTTTATCATAAAAACAGTAAGCTAGTCGCAAACTTCATCGCATTCCGTATTTGCCTATGTATCTGTTGTACCTACTTTACTTAATACAAGCCATTATTATCTGCAGCTTATTATTGTTTATTTACATTGCACGAAGTCCACACAGTTGATATTTAGCGACAGGATACGCAAGTCTACAGGAAGTCAATGTTGGAAACATCGCGTGCTGGTTTTCTAGACACTTGTTACAGCTTTATGGAGGTAGATAACATAGAATGCCGTGAAATGACATTGCTGCAAAGATAGTGCGTCAACTGGACTGAGGTCCGGTTCTGACGATCGTTAATGCGACTTGTTAGACATAAAGTTAGCATTAAAACGGTTCGTAGACGAATAACAGCTTTCAATTCTGTTCTAAAATTCCGAAATTAAGTAAATTTGATATGAAATATTGAGTAAATGGAAGCCATTTTTTATTACATTAAATTGACATATATTTTTTAAATCTGTTCATTCCCATGTACATTTTGGGCCGCTGTCCATATGGAACGTAAGCGAAACCACTTGCGTTGCTGATTGATAACTGGTCACTTCGGGAGGTGCGGCTCTTAACAGGGTCGTACTCGGCTAACTCTCTCAATTTTTATTTTAGGTCATATTTATATTGTATATGTTTGTATAAACCATTGTAAGTTTTGAAAAATTGTTTTAGTGATTTTTCTGAAACCTAATAATACCACGTTATTCTACATCAACAAAATTTCATGCCGTGATAATTCATTAATTAAATTTATTTGAATTGAAAGAAAGTGTCCTGAATTAGCATAAGATGTTTCTAAATTATTCATACCATTTGCAACATGTTGTGCGAAATAAGTTTGTTTGTAAGGAGTATTGTCAAAATGACACCAAGAAATAATATTTTCTGTTATTAGCTCTTGCATTTTCTACTCTATTTTAAAAAATACATTATTTAACAATTTCAATGTATCAGGATGTGCTTTTGTATTTATTATATTTGGTATAGAATGTTCAGTTCAATATAATACTTTAAAGTATACTTAGTAAAAAAAAGGAATAATTTGGTATCATTTTTAATTGAAAAATATTAGAATTGTGTATTTCGAATACATAACTCGTAGAATTGAGAAATTAGTTTAAGGAAATAACGGAGGTCAGTGTTCGCTTCATCTACCTGTACGATGAATGCCGTGACCAGTTTACGCTTACCCCTCCGATTTGCATTCAGCGTTTGTCTCATTTACCCCGTTTAACTGGGCTCGAATTCTCCCTCATTGCCTAGTAGGCAAGGCACGAGCGCGAATTTGTTTCCCCGAACGGTTCTATTACAGCCGAAACGTATCAATCAAGTGAACTAGCTAGTTTCGGCATGCCCGTTTTTTATCTGCCACAGGCGTCCAAGTTGGCGTTGACGTGTCCCGAAAGTTACGGCCCCTTGAAGGGGATCGCGATTTCCGATCAGATCAACCGCAGGGAGCGGGTTGTATGTCCCAATTGTTTTATTTTTCTACACAAGACTTTTCAAGTTTAAAAAACTCTTCATTTTGAATTTTTTGTTTCAGTGTGTGAGGCGTAGGCGGCAGCCGCGCAACATGCGCCTGATGGAGATCGAGCTGGTGAAAGGGAACAAAGGGCTGGGCTTCAGCATCGCCGGCGGCATCGGCAACCAACACATCCCCGGCGACAACGGCATCTACGTGACCAAGGTGATGGACGGCGGCGCCGCGCAGGTGGACGGCCGCCTCCTCGTCGGCGACAAGCTGGTGGCGGTCAGAGACGCAGTGGTGAGTGATATGTTGAAAATTTAATTATTCTTCCCCAAAAACGTTTTGTCGCTTGTGCTTTTGGAGGGCGCGACATTATGTCGCGCGGTGTAAGAGCGGCCTTACTTTGACTGCGAAAACTACAGTGAGTGTGATGTTTTGTCGTTTGTGTTGCAGAAGGGGGAAGTAAATCTGGAAAATGTGACTCACGAGGATGCCGTCGCCACGCTGAAGACCACGCAGGACCGCGTCGTCCTCGTGGTGGCCAAACCAGACAGTGCCTTCAACGCCCCCGCCTCAGATACCTCCTACTCGCCGCAGTTGTGTAAGTACCGAAAAATGAAATTTAAATCGGGAAATTAACATAAATGTCTTCTTTTTTGTACTTAGTACAACAGAGGGTGTAACTTAAATGAAGGTCATATTTATACTTAGGTTACATTTGGCCTTTAGGAAATATGTTTTCTAAAATTCCGTCGTAAAATTTGTTTTTTTAACCTTCTTTTCGTATTATACAGGATGTAACTTTGAGTGGGGGTCATATTTATACAGAGGCTTCCTTTGACCTTTAAAAACACGTATCAATAATTTATTTTATCAAATTCCGTCGTAAAAATATTTTTTAACCTTTTTTTTTTAGTAATTTTCATGCCTCGCCGCTGGACAAGGTAGCGTAACCTCAAATAACGGCGCGCTTTAGTCGCAGCGCATGCAGAATGCTCTTTGGCGCTCGTTACTTTTTTGAGTGAGTGTCCGTCACACAAACAAAAATCATTTCTATCAATAATGATAATTGAAATACACAAAAATCTGTTTACTAACATGATTTTTTATAACACTTCTCTGAATTTGTTCCCGCCCGACATTAGCGTATTGGCGTTCAAAGCTCGCATAATCTCTAAAATATATAACCTGCCACTTTTAACTATGTTGACCTCAGGATACGGAGTTCGTTTGGAATTTAATAACGATGAAAAACATTCAAATTCACAATTAGATGTATTGTGGATACGCCGCGATTAAGGCGTCAATACTTAAATCGATGTGTCGATCTGCCCGGGTTTCGAATCTCGCGGCCGGTAGGCCGTAGATTAGCTATGCTTGTACGGAGGATTGGCACCCTCTGTGCAGGTGTGGTAGGGTGGAGGAATGTTGGCTTGGGTCAATGTGAGAGATTGACACCGGTTGGCATTTGACCACCCCCCTAATTAATGAGGTTTTCCAGGTTTCCCTCATTCCTGCACTGAATGGTGGTTAGGGCCTACCAACATAAGTCGTTCCTGGGCGCAAATGCGGCCTGCGTAATAATAATGTGCCGCCTCCTCTCCCGCACAAGTCTCCGACTTCTGGGCTAACTCTCGTGGTTAGAATGAGGAGTAGAGATATTATTATTATATTATTATTATTGTCTTCGCTTCGTCACAGTTGACCCGCACTATCTCCCTCCACATGCATTGTAGTTTGCCAACAATCTTATTATAAATACTTGAGTGTTACAGTGGATCTTAAAAAACTAATTATAACTCGGTTATTTATTTGATTAAAAAATAAAGAATTTTAGATTCGTATTCAGAGGAACACATAGCAGTCTAGGGATATGAGGAAAATAAATGACTGGTGACTGTTAATTTTAGTATAATATTAACAAAATACATATTTGTGATGTACGCAAGAAGGTACCCCAAATTAAAAAAAAGAACATCAAAGTCTGTCAACAAGTTCCAGAGATATAACTTGCTCTATCAATTTGCTCGTGGATTTGTAGGTTCCCCCTCCACTGACTCACAGTCAACTTGTATCGAAGTCATTATTTGGAGCATTCTCAGAGTTGTTACAAAACTATCGCCCTCAAAAATTTCACATAGAAACTTTAGCTCTTTATCTTCGAAATGGCACTTATTAGAAGTCTTAATTGTTATAAACAAAGTAGCTGTGATTTTTTTTAAAAAAAAGTGTCTAACTTTGCCCCAAATTAAGTTAGAGCATCTTTTTTTTTTAATTTGTGTAAAAATACCAGCTTTACGAATATGGAAAAATAATCTCTCTAAATATAATAGCAACAAATTTATTCTAATTGTTTATAACACAAAAATGACAGTGTTTTTGTGGTACGTTTTTGCAGTGGTAAAAAACAATTTGTTTGCAATAAAATAATTTCTTCCAATAAAAAAAGTCTTTCTCTTTCATATGACACCCGCAGAATTAAAATATCTTGATCATTTTGCGTATCAAGTTATTGCAAAAATAATGCATCTGGGATAAACATTTAGAATTTTGCAAAAACTATTGGCTGAATCGGTCTGAAATTTTAATCACATATTAAGGACTACAAAAAACAACTATATATGTAATATGAAAGTCGTAAGTTGACTTTTGCAAAACTTATTGTATATTTAGTAATATTCCATTTCCCGAGCAACAAATTATCGTATCGGATTTAAAAAACCGCCATTTTAAAGGTTTTTTTATTCCCTACAAGTTGGTTACTTTCACATTCTAATAAAAATTATCGTTTTTTTCTGGTAGACAAAAAAGTAATATTTTGGTTTACTTTAGATCTTTTATTGTTAATTATTAAAAAACTTCACCTGATGGTGTGTCGGTTTTACAGATTCTTGGCTACTTAACAGTCATGGCATTTTCCTCATATCCCTGGACTATAGGTACTATTACCCCTAAAAAACTGATGCCCATTTAAAGTTAGATAATAATGTATAATATATTAACTAAAATGAATCAATGACGTATTCGGCCCTGTTGTCATGTCTCATCAGGTGGATTGATGTTTTGTAGTTTACCTAAAAATAGTTTAATGTCAGGGGAGACTAATACTAATTTCATAAACTAGCCACAGTCCTTTAAACACATTTTTAATGTTGAGCCCTTCATCCGTATTGACAAAAAAATATTTTGACTTAGAAATAACATGTTGCGGTACATATGAAAGCAGTTAGTTCTTAAAAATGATTTTCCATTACAGTTTCGTTCTCTGCCACTCTGTTAAGCATCATATGGTTTGTTTAAAATGATAAAAGGTGTGACACTTAGTGTAGACAAGAGTTTAAGTACAGATTAAAAAACGAATTATAATTTGACTATCTATAATGATAATTTCAAATTAGTACTCTGGGAGCACACACCATTACCCCTAAAAAAAATGAACCCCGCTTATAGTTATACCTCTCAAAGTTTGAAAATTGCGTAGACGATACGAAATTTTGTAAAATTATTATTGTTTTCTGTGCTTCCGAGTATCCTAGTTTTGCAGATAATAATCGAATGTATTGCACACACTTGAACGGTTAGTAATTGACTCCACATTTACATAAGTACATAAATGATTTGATCCCACTACCTAGAACGATAAAGTTATAATGGTCTAATAAGGTAGGTATCTGATTAACCTACATTCAAGCAGTGTAATGTCTCAATTGAACTAAACCGATTTAAATGGCAGCGTTTACGTACCTGAGGATTTCCATTCCAAAAGTAGAACGGGTTTTAAAAGAGTTTTTACCTACGATAGTGTCAAAAGTGACAGTTTCTTACATAATTTCCACTGTAAAGAATTGGTTTTTATAAGAACCTGTGCGATAAAAGTTAAAAGGTTTATGATTAAAACAAATAATATAAACCCATTAAAATTTTTTTTTTTAGTAATATTTGAAAGGATTTAACTTCGTGAATGAACTTTTTTGAGCATCTCTCTCGGTGGAAATCAAAAGAAATAATGCAAGGCAAAAATTGTACATTTTTTTTTTCAAAACTGCACATGGGCTTTTTTTCTGGCTTAATCAATGCCACTCAGCCTGACTCATCAGCTTCAGTTTGTTTTTTTTATATTTTGTACGATTATTTCTCATTGAGGTATGAGTGAAGTCACCTTTTTTTTATCATCGGTATCTCGTCAACTAATGATTGTACAACGAACGAAAGGTGGGTTTTAGAAACCTGAATCAATCCTCTTCAAGGACCTTTTGCTATGTTTGAGAAAAAAATTTGCTTAGTCTTAATTTGAAAATGTGCATAAAATTACTTTTTCTGCTGTTTTGGAAAGTCAACACTGCAAATATTGCGAAAAGTACCAATGTTTGTAGGGTTTTTTAAGCTCAATACACGCCCATGAGACCTATAAATTTTGAAATCGGTCGAACCGTTTTCCTTTCCTGAATCGTCAAAGGTTTATGAAAAATTAAAGCAGCAGATTTGTTGCTCCTTAAACATCAATTTTTTTTTGCGTTATTTTTTTCACTATTTTGCGTTAAATACTCATCAAATATCGAAAAAATTTCAAAATTTAAAAAATCAAGTTTTTCAACGTATTTTTTAAACTTCAAAAAAATTTTTTTTTTCGACATTTGAAATATTAAATGTAAAATTGTAAAAAAGAGAACGCAAAAAAATTTAGAAAAATTTGATTTTTGTTTCAAAATTGAATTGGTTTTATTAATTTTAATTCAAACTTTAAAAACAGCAATCTTCGTTTTCTTGATACCCACGATTGCTTAAAATTTTTATAACAATCGGTTCAGTCAATACACTCGAATAATACCACCTGTCAAAGTGTCACAGTTCTCCAATTCTGTAAATATTCATGAATTCATGTATAGGTATTAGTCTTTTGGTCAACTTGCTTGATTTTTTATATGTTAGTTTGAGGTATATAATAACAATAAGTGGCAGTATTTTTTTTCAACCCCCAGCCAGAGGTGAGAAATGATAAAATAAACGTTTTTTTCAAGATAACTCAAAAGGGGTAAGAGATAGAAAAAAAAATCTTGTAAGAGTTGTAGAACATGAAATTCTACAGACAAATGGTCTGTTGACTTTTTCTTGTACTATTAAAATTAACGGAGTTAGGGTGGCTAGAAGTAAGGGATGATTTCAGAAATTTAAAAAAATAGTATCCCTAACTCTGTTAATTTTAATAGTACAACAAAAAGTCAATGGACCATTTTTATGTAGAATTTTATGCTCTATAACTTTTTTAAGAAACTTTTTTTTCTAGCTCTTACCCCTTTTCAGTTATCTTGAAAAACCCCTTTATTTTATCTTTTTTCACTCCTGGGCGGGGGTTGAAAAAAAAAATATTGTCACTTATTGTTCCCACGGCTTTTAAAAACACTCTCTTCCCGTGCTTCTTATTCATGTTCGTGCAATGAAGATTTACTTTTCACACTTGTATCCTAAATAGCTATTTTTGATCATAAATTCTATTTCGTTTCTCGTTGATTCTTAACTTTGTTAATATTTTTTTTTAGCTACAAAAGCTTCCCATGGCTACGCCGATTCCGTACACTCGGTACACTCCTCGAACATGGCGCTCCATGCTCCATCCACCCCTAGGGCTGTCAGTGCAGAGGACGTATCTAGGTNGGATGTTCGCAAGCCGGATGTACTGCTGTGGGTACAAAAAAATCTGTATTAAGTTACAGACAAAAAACGATAATATTAAATGTCTATAACGCTTTAGAAAAGGATCATCCCATGAAACTGAAGATTGGTTTGGTGGAAATGTATTCTATCTATATATACTGGAGTAAACGAATCATTGTTTTCAAAATTTTAAGAGAGAATAAAAATGAAGGAGACGTTAAGAAACCTAAAAAAGGGGGTGAAAAGAAGAAATTAATATTAAATGAAGATGAGAAAAATACAGTTCGGCGTACAGTATATAAATCATAGAATTTATATTTTGTTTATAATTTGTTAATATTTCTTGTTTGATAGAAAAATAACTTATTTTGTTGAGATTGATAGAGAATTGTTGTTAGTGTTTTCATTTGAAAGAATCATATCATAGGATTTATATTTTGTTTTCATTCTGTAAATATTTATAGTATATCTGTTATACAAAGTTTTTGCTTTGAAACTTCGTTCTCTTTATAAAAAAAAAGAATCGTAATGGGGTGCGATGAAGTTCACGTCTGGAACCCTGTTCCTACAAAAATCCCTTTATTCTCATAAACTATTTGTTTTANATTCAAACTTTAAAAACAGCAATCTTCGTTTTCTTGATACCCACGATTGCTTAAAATTTTTATAACAATCGGTTCAGTCAATACACTCGAATAATACCACCTGTCAAAGTGTCACAGTTCTCCAATTCTGTAAATATTCATGAATTCATGTATAGGTATTAGTCTTTTGGTCAACTTGCTTGATTTTTTATATGTTAGTTTGAGGTATATAATAACAATAAGTGGCAGTATTTTTTTTCAACCCCCAGCCAGAGGTGAGAAATGATAAAATAAACGTTTTTTTCAAGATAACTCAAAAGGGGTAAGAGATAGAAAAAAAAATCTTGTAAGAGTTGTAGAACATGAAATTCTACAGACAAATGGTCTGTTGACTTTTTCTTGTACTATTAAAATTAACGGAGTTAGGGTGGCTAGAAGTAAGGGATGATTTCAGAAATTTAAAAAAATAGTATCCCTAACTCTGTTAATTTTAATAGTACAACAAAAAGTCAATGGACCATTTTTATGTAGAATTTTATGCTCTATAACTTTTTTAAGAAACTTTTTTTTCTAGCTCTTACCCCTTTTCAGTTATCTTGAAAAACCCCTTTATTTTATCTTTTTTCACTCCTGGGCGGGGGTTGAAAAAAAAAATATTGTCACTTATTGTTCCCACGGCTTTTAAAAACACTCTCTTCCCGTGCTTCTTATTCATGTTCGTGCAATGAAGATTTACTTTTCACACTTGTATCCTAAATAGCTATTTTTGATCATAAATTCTATTTCGTTTCTCGTTGATTCTTAACTTTGTTAATATTTTTTTTTAGCTACAAAAGCTTCCCATGGCTACGCCGATTCCGTACACTCGGTACACTCCTCGAACATGGCGCTCCATGCTCCATCCACCCCTAGAGCTGTCAGTGCAGAAGACGTCTCTAGGTAAGTCCATTTTTTTAATATTTCGAAACGTCAATGACTGCACTTTATGTTTGGGACATCAGCGGTTCCCAAACTGTTGACATATCCACTACAATCTAAGACATAATTTGTATACAAAATAATCTTTCATTGCAGTATATTTTTCTGAAATAAACTGCAGTTCTCCAAAGTTACGTTAGTGTTTCTCAAACTGTTGACATTCGCGCTCTAATTATAAGATAAGAAATTTAACATTATTAACACTGAAGTGTTACAAATATTCTGTTTCTTTTTAATACTACTTGAAACGCCATAGTATTACGCAGAATAATAATTTTTCTGAAATAAATAGAACAACAACAATAACACAACAACAACATTGTAAACATTATATCAGGGGTTCTCAAACTGTTGGCATTTGTACTTTAATCATGCGACAGACAATTAATATTAATTAATATAATTAAAGTGTAGTGTTAAAAATAAAAATATTTTATTCTCTTTTACCATGATCTGAAGGAGAATTCCTTAACACAGAATAATATTTCTCTGAAATAAACTGAACACAGTGATTTATTTTTGAGACATTACACCAGCGGTAGAGATATCGGTGAATATTTTGATCCAAATTTGTTATGGAAAACATTGTTTGATGTTTCAGTCTGTATCCATTTTTTTTCTCTTTCCGTTAGTAACCTTTTGTTTCGTCCTCGCAATTGGAAAGCGAGCTCCGTCGGCTGCGCAATAAAGAAATAAATAAATAAATCCAGAATTCAATGGGAATTGCTACATTCTCTTTATAGTACGTCGTACCATCGAAACTGCAAAGGCAAATATTGGCCTCGTTCGGAGCGAGCTCGGGCGGCGCTTGCATTAAACAAACGAACGTCGGCGTCGGATTTTTTAATTAACGCGAGCGCCGTTGTTTTTGCGTTGACGCAACAGCGGTATAGATGGCCCGATTTTAGTCCCTATGAAACAAACTCGGCGTGTTTATAAAAGGAGGCGTTGTAAATATGCACATTTCTCGATTTGGGTGCAGAAATATGTTTGTAACTTCATCTTGGCATTGTCACATGTTAACGTAAAGCCTCACAACTGACGCGTCTTCGCTTCTGACGTCATTCTGCTAATGACGTCAGGTTACGACTGGTTAAACCAGTCTCTAATTGTAAATGACACAAGTCGGCGCACGCATTGTTACTGCAACTATTTCGACAACTATTATAAGATGAATTATGTGTACAGAATGAATTTTAAATGTGTTCCAACGTTAATATAAGTAAAAAACAAATTAAACCCGATTATAATGTATATAAATAATTAAAAATTAATAACGCTTGGCTAAGTTTTCATTTATTTCAGTATAGCATTTTGTTTTATTCTGAAATCAGTGAAAATAACATATTGTGACGTATATGGAAGTACACACAAATCACACAATGTTTATTTATTTTTTTTAGTGCCTAAAGGCTCAATATTTGTGTATAGAAATAGTTTATTGGCGAAAATAAGAATAACAGATCAGGAGGTCGTAATTTCTCTGACGTATCATTAGAAGGAAATAGAATTACTGTCTCAAACAAAATTACTGGTCACGTGGCTTATATTCATTTAGGTATGAGGACTCTGTAGTTGTGGTAGTCGAAAACGCATCGAACGATTCATCCCGCTGCAGATTTGAGCTTGAGGCGCCACCTATCGGTAGCCCGAGGACGTTACAGTTTCATCGTCGAGCAGCGTACTTAATTAATGGAACTCCCTTATTAAAACGTCGCCCGACAATGGACTTGTATCTCTGGAGAGTCGTACGGCCATTCAGCCGGAGCAAAACCACGGCTTTGAATAGCAATGAGTTCTGCCCAGATGTCTAATTTATTATAATTTTCACGTACTCTCGAGTGTATAGGTGTCCACGGGCTGGGGATCGGGCATTTTCGCCGTGGCGCTATTTATCAATTACTCCTTTTAGTATTCGATTACATGTAAAGAAAATATCCGCGGTATGTGTCACTATTTCTGCTCATATTAAATGTGATGCAAATTAGTCTGTTTCGACAAGAGTGCTGTACGGTGCGGGTGGTGCTTCTGTTAGTCACCGATCGAGGATTCACGAATTAATGAATGCTGGAAGAGTTTCAGGGTAATTCGTGTTTTTCTTTTAAGTATCGGTCGTTTCTGTGGTTTCAATTTACTTGGAATTGCCGTTACGGACGTTAATCATCATGTACAGGTAAACCAGGATATTATTCTCTAAAATTTTCATTAATTATTAAAAAGTAGTAATTATTTTCCTGGAAGCAGTCATGCATGCAGCTAGAAATACAAAATTTTATTTCAGGATTAGTCGTTAATAGAGTTTGCCATTGTTTGAAGTTACTTTTTGTCTTTATTTATTACAAGATAAATAAAGAAACAATATTCTTTATTTGTCTGCTTTTTTCGGTGTTAGATATTTGGTTAGACTGATCTTTTTGGACAATACCCATTTGAGTTTGACACTTTGGTGCGCAGATAAGGCGTCGAGGTAGTGGGCGCTCAGGGGTTTCCATCGCGGACCGCGGTTCATTTTGTTCGCTGTTTATCGAATTAATAAAATTATTCTGATTTACGCTTGATGGAGCAGTAGTACAATGTAGTGTAGTAAACAATCTTGTTCGGCTACGGTCCCTCTCAGTGCAAAAGATATATTGAAAGTCAAATGTATAAAGGGAATAAACTCTTACAGCTATCTTACTGGATATTTTTAATATATCGCCTTGTTTTTAAGTTCGGTGTATGTTTATATGACCGATAAATATGTACCTAAGTGGCCACTGGCCAAATGGGAAAAATAATAAACAGGGTCTATACTGACCTGGAAAATATGGAAAATCTGGAATTAAGTATTAGGAAATTTCATAGATCTGAAAATGTCAAGGTATGTTAGGAAATCGGTCTTTATTTACAAATTGCCGCGAGTCAATATCACGTTCCTGGAAAGTAAATTAGCTACTACTACTACTAATTTTACGGTGTATATTTGTCATATAATGTTCTAATATTTGTTGATTGACTGTCATTAAGAATTAGTCTTTTATATTAATATCCTCATTTCCGTTATTTTATTCCTTACTGAACCATATTATTTAATACATAGGTACTAGACAAAAGATTTGGATTTTATCAATGCGAACAAATTAACAAAAAATTAAAGTTACGGTACCAAAAATCTATGACACCTCAAGTGTTACAAATAGTAATTTTTTCATGTCACAATTTGATACATTTATTCTGCAGCAGGAATTTTTGAGCACGTAAGAAATTATTGAAATGGATTTTACTAGAAAACGGCTATTAAAATCTACCAAGAGTACCTTTTTTATGCAAAATGTGATAAATTTTCGTATTTCGGTTCAGGAACTAGAAAAAATTGCGTACAAAAAAAAATTGTAAAATTTGCCCCGTGGTTCCGCATTTTCTTATGCCCCTGTAGCAAATTTTGATTTCTATATT